TCAGTTAAAATGTTGAATATTGCATAAAACCATGGAAGTGACTCTTCTTTCGAAATATCAGGATACAATTTCAAGACAAAATAATGAAAACGATAAACCCCCTTGGATTATGGAGGAACATAATAATGATCCCATATGCGCAGGGTACTGCCTAAATATAACCAATGGGTTTTGAATTGTAAACAATTTTACTGCAGGTAAATATACTAAATACTTATGGTATCTAATACCGACCAATTTAAAATGAGTTTTTTGCATGTAGTAATTATTAAGGTAGTTCACGCGCGACAGTCGTACACAAAAATATCGCCAATAGTTTGAGATTCTCAATGCTGAAAAATGTTATTTTTGTAGGATACTGAACACAACACATGTAAGCTTATGTACGGATACGTTATTATTTCGAGTAAAATCCATCCGGCAACGTCACAAATATAGGAATGGTGCGATATCAAGTGTATAGGTACCTATAGAAATTTTGTGACTTCCTCATACAAATTTTAAGGTTTTGTTTTGGTTCAAACAGAAGCGTCGATTCCAGTTCTCAAATACAGTAGACAAATTAATTTTTCAAGAACACTTCACGAGGTTATAACAACCTCTTAGCTGATCGAGTGTAATTCAGTGATTCTGAACTAACAATGTTGCCAAGTTGTAATCATTGTACCCCACTACGCGTCGACTGCTTTAAACATATTTTTCTTTTAGAAATCTATCTTTTTACCAAAACGGTCAAAAAATTCAACGTTTTTTTAGAAAATTGTATAACTTTTTGATTTACATTACATTAGTTTTTAAAAAAATATAGTAAGAACCATTTTCGAAATATCTTGAAATAAATGCATTGCTTATGTACATGACAGGCTTCAAAACTGTTAATTATGCACAATTTCATTGTTAATATCTCGTTTCACAGACGGTCAAAAAAAAATTTTTTTTACTTAGGTACGTAAAAGACATTTTTTTAACCTTATATTTTAATTTTATTGAATTCCTAAGAAAAGCCGTCTTGCGCATGAACTACTTTAAATATTATTTTAAAAAAATGAAAATAAATCTTGAAGCTTATTTTTGATTATATACAATATGTACCTATTTATTGTAGGTTTTTATTTGTATTTACATTTTTAAAAAATAGCCATCTATCCAAATAAAACCATTTTAAATAAGGGATTCTTATTATAGGTATTTAAAAATATCAGAAAATGTCAATCGACGCTACCCATTTTAAATTAGTCACACCACTTCATGCATTGTCAGAATTGTTAAAATAAATAACAAACGCAATGCCATTATTTCTTCTGTTCCCTCTAACTTGTGTACGGCAAAATTTTGCTACAGTACTTTGTAAATAATAAAGTTCATTAATCTCCGTAATTAGGGAGAGTATTATTATTATTATTATTATTATTATTATTATTATTATTATTATTATTATTATTATTATTATTATTATTATTATTATTATTATTATTATTATTATTTGTGTATAACTATTTTTGGTTGATAAATAAAATGCTTTAATTGGTCTTTATTTTATTTGATAAAGGAAGGTATGTAGTCAGAATATGTATAATATTCTTGCTTCACTTATAAAACGGGTTCTTCACAATATTTTTCTACTTTCTTTTCTCCTTCATCAATTAAGCTTTATAGTAGGTATATTTACTCAAAATGTATACAAATTGTTTAAAGTACAAAATTAATAATCCTATAAAATTGAGTAAATAATATGACAAGCCTGTGCATGGTCTATGTAGTATCACAATACTGTGAAAAACTATTCTTACATTGAAAGTTAAAAATATACGCTATAAAACAATATTTTTAAAATCATGTCCATCCGCTTTTATCTAGCATTTTATAGTAATTAACAATATATAACCCCTTCCATACGGTACGGCACTGCTAAGTTCTCCGTTTGTATACCTTTCCTCTCTCCCCGTCTAGATAATCATTAAACCCATTACTTCCACAGGTAAGGCGTATCTATCCACGCCGTGATCTATCCTAATACATGATCGAATGTTTAGTCCGATTAGTTCCTTGGATTAGTTAGTGGTTAGTGACAGTTTAACTGGGTGGCTCAGTGGTTAGAGCCTGTGCCTGTGGATCCAAGGGTCCCAGGTTCGAATCCCACCGTTGGCCGGAATTTTTTCATTTAATTTAATTATTTAAAATTAATTCTGATGCCTTGGTAGGATTCCCCACTCGACCATTCACTGTTGGGTTCTAATTAACAGTGCTGTTCCTAAAGTGGCGTTGGGAAACAGTAACAAAGCCTACACAGAACACACATGATTAAGAATTTAAACACAAATTTGAGACTGGCATATTAGGTATATACACCTAGGCCATATAGCGAAAAAAAAAAAAAAAAAAAAAAAAAAAAAAACCACATACTTAAATAGGTATACGGCGTAAAACCCTCTGCGCATCTTTACTGAGTGTTTAATAAAAGAAGATAGAAATGACCGCCATTTTTATATAAACAAACTGAAACTTATGCAACCAATTTATCTTTATCTGTCAAAAGTGTCAAATTTTAATATGTTTGTGAATTTGGTTAAATTTTTTTGTGTTATTTTAGAATATTTTGATTGTGGATATTATTTTCTAAGTATATAAACGTTTTATTTATTTTAACATTTGTGAATAGACTTTAATCCCAGTATATAAGTTCTCTATACTGGGCTTTATTCAAGATGTCTTGTAAGATCTTGCAAGAACATAAGAAGACTGTTGCCAATAGATTCAAATGTTACATTCCACAAGTAAGTAATAAGATTTAGCAAAAATAAAGGATATGAAAGAAGTGTCTTTATATGATTTTAGGGTTCCAAAACAAGCAGATCGTTCCTTATTGTGGTTATCTGCCATATAGAGATTGGACAAAATTTATTTTAAGTTGTTAGTACAATTCATTGCAGAATCAATAAGGACGACCCGTTCACTAAAAATTTGTAGCTTTTAGAAATTATACAAGAAGAAAGTAAATTGTTTAAAATAAAACAAATATGCAACCATCAATTTAATTTTAAAGTATCCTGGAAATTTTAATATTTTTAACTCCTCTACTACTTTTGTCATTTAAAATTAGTATTTAATCTATTATTTGTCGGCCTATTATTTATCAGCCTAACATGTATTTTTAAACATTAAAATATTTTTTTTGTTGTAGAATAAAAATTTAATTCAGATATAATATTGTATTATTTCTTTTAAAAAATCTGTACAAAATGATGTATTTAAAAGTGAAAAGACCTAGACATCTGCAACCAAGTTTTCATATTGCTGTATTTCTGGTCACCTATGTACTAGTAATCTTGTATAAAAATGGCCGCCCCTATGTTAAACAGGTCGGACGTCTCTCTTGCTCCGTATACCTATTATAAAGTCGTTTTCCAGTGTGAAATATTTTCGAACCATTATTTTAAACTTAATTCAAAATGACGTCACTAAACAGAACGCTGGAAATCGTAAGGTTCGAACCTATGACGTTGTAAAAATTGTTTTGTTTTGTGTTGAAGTTTGAAGTTGAAATGGATTTGAAAATGAGTTAACACAACAGATTATTACTATTAAAAATTTTGTTATTAATAGTGATGATATTGAAAGTTTATGTTTAATTTTAAACAACATTAATACTCCTCATGTTAGAATACCGGATTATTATGAACAGTGGCTGCAGAACTATTTGGATACCGATTTTTATTCTTTATTTAGAATGAATAGAGATACATTTTACAGACTACTTCGGATCTCTCAGTCCAGTGTTCTGGTTTCGTATCCAATCCGTGATTGTTGTAAATAGTCAAAATGTGTTCATGCTTGGGAGTGTGGATCGACTCGGACTGTTTTGACCGCGCATGTGTTTTTTAAGTGTTATGAATATTGTATTGGCTTTTTAGACCATACGAAACGTATGCAATCCCAAATGCCCAAATTGTTTATTTATATGTGGACGAATGTCTCTTGTTCTTGTTTTATTTGTAAATTAAAGCAATTTTAGAATTATTATTTTTTTAATATTATTCTGTTTTTATTTATTCCATTGAAATGTGATGATAATGATAAACATATACATGCAAAAGATATTTGAAGTTGAGCTTTCAAAAGGAACTTCATTATTATAATAAATAATAAACAAAACACCTTTACGTGTTCTGGTTTCCAACAATTTCAAACAGTCGGGGATTTTTTGCCTTTACGCATACGGTCCGGCGCAGTTTCAAAACAGTTTTCATTTTGAGAACCAGAACAAACCTTGCCTCCATGCTGCGTCTAGTAAAGCACGGTTCAATTTTCAAGAACCTAATTTAAACCCGGTTCTTAATGACGTCACCGTTTCAACGCTGGAAAACATTCAGTTCCAAACATACGAAAAATTTTCAAACCAGAATACCGCTGGAAAACACCTAAAGTATAGAGAAAGTAAAAGTTGAAAAGTCTTTTGGTAGGTAGAGAGGGGGTAAACGTCAAACCACGTCGGGCGGCTCCGAGAATTTCACAGTAATGTTTACCTGCCAGTGTCGTTTCATAGAATAAGTAATTTTAAATTGTTATCGGCGGAACCGGACAATCGCATGTATTTATGGATTATAAATAATTATTAAACATGTATTATAATATTCTAATTATAATTTTACAAAATTTCAACAGCTATTCACAATTTATTAAACTATTTACTCGAAATTGTTATTAACATCTATAAAATAATTTTGTACGCCAATGTATCGCGTCCACTTCGGTGAGATCCGCTGACAACCTGTCAATTTATGTGTATAAAGTGGGAGAACTGGCAAAAGCATTTCCAACTTTTACTTCTGTTCTATGTGAGTTTAACACGCTTAAATGTCATTTAAAAGCACTCATACATTGCGTTCGGTCTGCCAAGTTCCTTTAACACTTTTAACTCCAAACGACCCTTTTAGCGTTCGGTTTAGTCCGATTAGTGACAGTTTAACACGCTTAAATGTCATTTAAAAGCACCCTAAAATTTGTCCCGCTCCAGCCCCTGACTATCCGAACTTGCCTTAAAAAACTCCGTTTTTGTCCCGCTCCAGCCCCTGACTATCCGAACTCGCCTCGCGGTATCCAATGCTCTTTATTTTTTGTTTGTAAACAAATCAATTTTAAAACGAAAATAAAAATGCACACATGCTAAGAGAAATTAATACATTTGCCAGTAGATTTCGAAGGATATTCGGTACAATGGCAACCGCCAGAAGCCGTTTTTTCCCCAATCCTAAACCTGATTATAAGGGTGCTGGTCATCCAATAATACCAGCACAAAATATTTTGGAAAATTTAGGTGATATGCTTTTAAGAATAGAAAATGGCTTAAAACCTGTTGAAAAGAATGCAGGTGATGGCTTATATCTTGGTACTGCTGGTGTTGCTTACATGTACTATCACTTAAGGTAAAATAATAGTTCATTTAAGAAATTGCATACTTCCATTTACTTACCTCTAAAAAATTGTATATTTAAATTAAACTTCGTATTTAAGCAAAGTTCAAACTCTTCAAAGTTACTCTAGCCAATATTTGAAGAAAGCAATGCAATACTTGCTGCCTGCAATAATAGTGGCTTCCTCTAAATCGAACAAAACAGAAGACCTTCCTTCATTTATTCTTGGCAATTGCGGCATATACGCAGTATGTGCATGTATTTACAAAAGTCTTGGAGAAGAATCTCAAAGCGCTAGATATAGACAAATTTACTATGATTGTGCTAAGATTGTAAAACAGCCTAAATTTCTAAATTGTGGTTCCGACGAATTGTTTGTAGGAAGAGCAGGTACTTAAAATGACTTTCTAAGAATGAGTAGTCATTCAATGTTGATCCTTGCAGGTTATTTATTGGGAGCTCTTTGGTTAGCTAAAGAAACTAATACTCCTATACAAATGAATGACATGTATGAAATATGCGATGTTATAGTACAATCAGGTCGTAGTTATGCAACATCACACAGATCTAAATGCCCACTTATGTATGCATACTATCAAGTCGAATATTTGGGTGCAGCTCATGGATTGAGTTCTATTTTGCAGGTACTTTTTAAGCACAAATTAAAATGAATACTCCTAAATGTTATTCTTGCTAGCAAATAGGTAGAATGTAGATATTCTTTTAGGTGTTAATCACTGTACCTGGATATTTAGATTCCCACCCACAAGCAGCGAAATATATTAAAGAAAGTATAGACTATATGCTCAGTTTACAAGATGAACATGGTAAGTTTTTATGCCCCTATAATAATCTGCTGTTTCTTTCCACTGTTGTATTTTACATTGCCCCTCAATTAACCCATTACCTGCCACCTTTGCATATACGCAACACTACAGTTTTATTCTTTTTGGGTCAGTAAATTTTTTTTATAAGATATATTTGTTTTTTTTTTAGTGAATAGCATTGTTAAATAAAACTATGAAAAAAATACATTTTTTTCTAAACAACTTATTAAAATTGTGTTTACTTGAAAACGGCCAAATATTTTTTTTAAGAGAGAGATACTTTTCAAATAAAAATAGTTTTCTTTATTTGGATTGATTTACCTTTCTAGCTGTAAAGTGATGCATAGTATGTGGATGCATAATAAGTAATTCAGTTTCTTATACATATCCAGACTTGTCATATTGCTCTTTATCGTTGACATTTGGATGGTGTTAGAGCATTCTTCAATCAACAATTACAAAAATACTGTTGTAGACTTTTCTGGTAAAAAATGCTGAAAATACTTACACAAAAGAAGTTGGAAATGGTATTAGACGAAGCAGTTACGGAAATTGAACACAAAGCATTCTAGAAGATAAAACCCAACAAGCTCCATTACAGTCATCCAAAATAATGGAAAAAAGATAGAAAACGAGAATCGTACTATAGCTGTTTTGACAAGAATATTTTTATTTCTTTGGCTAGATGGTATGATAATTATGTCGTCACGTTGATAGTACATATTACCATGTCGAGTCTATAAAAACAGCAAAAAGGTACAATAGAACTGAAAAACGGACAATGAACGTAACACAACCATTTGTAATCTGTATATATATAAAACTAGCTATTGCCCGCGGCTTTGCTCGCGACTTTGCTTGCATATTGTCGTGTTATTAATATAAAAAAATACATGACTTCCTATTTTATTAATTTTTATTAGTTTCATTGATTTTTATTCATTTTTTTAATTTTTTTTTTATATTTTTTTTTTTTAATTTTTATTCATTTTTATTCCTTATTATTAATTTTTATTAATTTTATTATTTGTTATTAATTTTTATTCATTTTTATTAAATTTTATTAATTTTTATTAATTTTTTATTAATTTTTTATTAATTTTTATTAATTTTTATTAATTTTTATTAATTTTTACTAATTTTTATTCATTTTTATTTATTTTTATTAATTTTTATTCATTTTTATTCATTTTTATCAATTTTTATTAATTTTTATTAATTTTTATTAATTTTTATTAATATTTATTAATTTTTATTAATTTTTATTAATTTTTATCAATTTTTATCAATTTTTATTAATTTTTATTAATATTTATTAATTTTTATTAATGTTTATTAGTTTTTATTAATTTTTATTAATTTTTATCAATTTGTATCAATTTTTATTAATTTTGATTAATTTTGATTAATTTTATTAATTTTTATTAATTTTTATTAATTTTTATCAATTTTTATCAATTTTCATTAATTTTTATTAATTTTCATTAATATTCATTAATTTTCATTAAATTTTATTAATTTTCACCCCCGTTTTCCCACCTTAAAATGTGAAAATCCAAAAACCATGAAACACTTCATTATTTATTTTTGATGAGAACCTACAATTCCAATTTTCAAGTTCCCACCTTTAAAATAAATCAATATTTCTAAATAAACTTTCACCCCGTAATCGTAAAAATGCGTTCTATTCCATTTTTGGTTTCTGATACTTTGACAATATACACTGTTTGTTTATCTTCCACATCGTTAATTGTCATTTTACATAATTCTTCCCGGCGACAAGCTCCCGCAATTCCAATTATAAAAGCTACCTAAAAAATAACATATTGTAATGTTACAAATAATTTATTAAACATTAGGAAATTTCTTAACGTTGCGCATGTAAAACTCCAAATAAATGCTATTGTAAAAAATATAAAAGTTTTAGGTATAATGTGCTGCCTAACAACCCCGGTGGCCTGTTAGGACAGCAACTGATTTTGTTAGGCAACACACCATACGAACATACATCTCGTTGCAAAACTTTACAGAATATTTTAATTTTATACTGAGCATTCAAGCATTTACTGAGGCATTTACTTACTTTGATCATTAAAAACTTGGAATCTGGAGCTTTCAACAGAAAATTAATTAGATCTTCTCGTTCAAAAATTTTGGATTTTATGGTTTATAACCTTTATTTTATTGTTTGAGAAACGCTATTAACTTGTTGAATTTCGAAATATCAACGTTGTTTTTATATTTTAAGGTGCTTTTAAGCATAGAATAAATCGACCATAGGGTAGAAGCTTTGCAATTCTTCAATTCATCAGAGAAATATGCTAAAATAACGTTTTCCGAATATTTTGTCACCTTATTCTTCCTACACCATTCTATAAATGCATTGTATTTTTGCTGATAAATATATGCAGATTTTTCTGGCAATAAATTTTCAGTGGCCTTTTGTGCACTGCATAAGATATCTGGGGGAGAATTATCAAATTAGGCATTCCAACAACCTGTCAAACAATAGGTGCCAGTGGGAAATTCTTGTATATTTAAGGGGGTAGCGACATAGTCTTGCAACTTGGACGCTATTTTTATTCGAAGTAGTACTCGCCAAGCCTGCCAATTTATGAAGAAATGTATAGGTGGGTTTTTTAAATATTATTTTTATTGTGTTTGACATAATATATTTAAATGTAATCCATTATTCATGATTTTACGTAAAGTAGATAGAATACACCATATGTCGCCACCCTTAGATATACCAAACCTGCCCACTGGTAATTCATTTGTTTGGAATGCCTAATTCGCTATCGCTAGATAAATTTGAATCCATATCGATTATGACAGATATAATAAACTGCAAATAAAATTTGAATTTAAGTAAACAAACATTAAAAAGTAAAACTTTTTACCTTCTCAAACTTGATTGAGTTTAAAAAAATTCTAAATTGGCTTTAGAATCTAATCTTGAACTTAAGTATACTTTTGTCGTGTTCTGTTATAAGGTAGGTACTAATTAAAAGTTTAGAGATTGACAGTTCTTCTAATCCACACAGCCACGGCCAACTTTTACCAAAATCGACATCCACTGGAGTGCGTTTAGAAACCCCGCACGGCGCGTCTGGGACCTATTCTAATGCATGTGGTCAGACGCGCCGTGCGGGGTTTCTAAACGCACTCCTGTATGTTTACTTTTAATTAAATCGATGACATTTAGAGAAAATTATAATTAAAATAAACTGTTGATAATTTGTTGGACACTAAATAGATATAAGCAAAAATAATTTATTTATTTGTCTTAGAAGGAGATAGCAAAAAAATGTTAATATAAAATAAAACGTTATATTTTGTTATGTACAAATTTTGTCAAATTTTACTTTTTTTAACTAGTGCGTAAAGAGTTTTACTTTACACACTAGTGAAAAAAGTACAACTTTACACACTTCGTGGAGTGCGTAAAGTACGTACTTTACGCACGGTAGTAGAAAAAAAAACGGTTTTTTTTTTAATATTAGTTTAACACCCTGTAACTTTGTTGGGAACCAGTTTTTGATATAGGTAAATATAGCCAAATCCACTTATTTTTCGGTAATCTATCTGAGGATGAATTTATGACATACCTTTTTGAAACACCCTGTATATAGATTGTTTGTCCTGACTGACTGACTGACCTATCAACCTACAGCCAAAACTACTGAGCGTAGGAAGCTGAAATTTGGAACATAGGTGTAGGGTTTTTGGATTTTCACATTTTAAGGGGGGGAAATGGGGTGAAAGTTTATTTGAAGATATCGTTTTTTTAGGTATGAACTTGAAAATTGGAATTGTAGGTTCTCATCATAAATAAATAATGAAGTGTTTCAGGATTTTTGCATTTTCACATTTTAAGGGGGGAAATGGAGGGGGGAAATTTGTTTAATAGTATGTATATATTTTTTTGTTATTCAAAATTTGAAACATAAAAATTTGAATTACAGCTACTGATTAAAAATCAAAAATGATGTGTTTCATGGTTTTTGGATTTTCACATTTTAAGGGGGGAAACAGGGGTAAAAATTTGAATAGAAGTATAAATTTTTTGAACGTTGGAACTTGAAAATTATAATTGTAGCATAAATAAATATTGACGTGCTCTGTGGTTAGATTTTTGTATGGTTGTATTATAAAAATAAACTAAAAAAAAATAATAAAAATCAATAAAAATTATTAAAAATTAATAAAAATTAATAAAAAATAATTAAAATGAATAAAAGTCATTAAAAATTAATAAGAATTAATAAAAATTAATAAAAATTAATAAAAAATATTAAAAATTAATAAAAATTAATAAAAATTAATAAAAATTAATAAAAAATATTAAAAATTAATAAAAATTATTTAAAATAAATAAAAATTATTTAAAATAAATAAAAATCAATAAAAATTATTTAAAATAAATAAAAATCAATAAAAATTATTTAAAATAAATAAAAATTAATCAAAAATAATAAAAATCATTAAAAATTAATAAAAATAAATAAATATGAATAAAAATGAAGAAAAATTAATAAAAATGAATAAAAATTATTAAAAATAAATAAAAATTATTAAAAATAAATAAAAATTATTACAAATTAATAAAAATTATTAAAAATTAATAAAAATTAATAACAATTATTATAAATTAATGAAAATAATAAAAATTATTTAAAATAAATAAAAATCAATAAAAAATAATTAAAATTAATAAAAATCATTAAAAATTAATAAAAATAAATAAAAACCAATAAAAATTATTAAAAATTAATAAATATTAATCAAAAATAATTAAAATTAATAAAAATCATTAAAAGTTAATAAAAATAAATAAAAATTAATAAAAATGAATAAGAATAAATAAAAATGAATAAAAATGAATAAAAATTATTAAAAATTAATAAAAATTAAAAAAAATTAATAAAAATAATAAATATTAATGAAAATTAATAAAAATTAATAAAAATAATAAATATTAATGAAAATTAATAAAAATGATTAAAAACTAATAAAAAATATTAAAAATTAATAAAAATGAATGGAAATAAATAATAATGAATAAAAATTAATAAAAATTAATAAAAATTAATAAAAATTAATAAAAATTAATAAAAATTAATAAAAATTAATAAAAATTAATAAAAATTAATAAAAATTAATAAAAATTTAAAAATTAATAAAAATTAACAAAAATTAACAAAAATTAATAAAAATTAATAAAATTTAATAAAAATTTAATAAAAATTTATAAAAATTAATAAAAATAATTAAAAATTAATAAAAATTATTATAAATTAATAAAAATTATTAAAAATTATTAAAAATTAATAAAAATAATTAAAAATTAATGAAAATTAATAAAAATTAATAAAAATTAATAAAATGTAATAAAAATTAATAAAAATAATTAAAAATTAATAAAAATCATTAAAAGTTAATAAAAATAAATAAAAATTAATAAAAATTAATAAAAATTAAAAAAAATTAATAAAAATAATAAATATTAATGAAAATTAATAAAAATTATTAAAAACTAATAAAAATTATTAAAAATTAATAAAAATGAATAAAAATGAATGGAAATAAATAATAATGAATAAAAATAAATAAAAATTAATAAAAATTAATAAAATGTAATAAAAATTAATAAAAATTAATAAAAATTAATAAAAATTAATAAAAATAAATAAAAATTAATAAAAATAAATAAAATTTAATAAAAATTAATAAAAATTATTATAAATTATTATAAATTAATAAAAATTATTAAAAATTATTAAAAATTATTAAAAATTATTAAAAATTATTAAAAATTATTAAAAATTATTAAAAATTATTAAAAATTATTAAAAATTATTAAAAATTAATAAAAATTATTAAAAATTAATAAAAATTATTAAAAATTAATAAAAATAAATAAAAATTAATAAAAGTTAATAAAAATTAATAGAAATTAATAAAAATTAATAAAAATTAATAAAAATTAATGAAAATTACTAAAAATTAATGAAAATGAATAAAAATGAATAGACATGAATAAAAAAAAAATGAATAAATATAAAAAAAATTAAAAAATTGAATGAAAATCAATAAAACTAATAAAAATTAATAAAAAAGGAAGTCATGTATTTTTTTATATTAATAACACGACAATATGCGAGCAAAGTCGCGAGCAAAGCCGCGGGCAATAGCTAGTATCTCAATAAAATTCCTATATATGGAGGCGTCGATATACATGATAATGGTGTAGCTAATTACAGGATAGGTATAAATGGGGAAAAATGGCGGTGGCCTTTATTTACAAATACTATTGGTAATATATTACTAAACTTGTGGAAACTATATAACAGTAAATAACACAAATATGTCCCAAATATATTTTAATTCAAATGTAGCATTACGCTTCCTGAAAATGAATTCCTTTCACCTTCAGATTCATTTCCTAACAAAATACCAGCTGATATTCGTCTGGACCAATCGAGTAATTTAATATTTAAACAACCTATAAGAAGAAGATGCAGATTGTCATAGTCAGACAAAGAATTGTAATGTCCATATACACCTAAATTGTTTTGAAAGATATCATTTAAGTTAAGTGTTTCAGCCAACGTTGTGTTCACGCAACAGTAATTTTTTGTATGTTCTTGTATTATAATAAAAAGAAACTGAACTATTACTTTGATTTGATGCTATAATAAATCATAAAATATTTAATTACGTTTTCTATTTTTTCAATGCTTGGCCAATAATGGGTTAATTGGTAATTTTCCTGAGGTTTATTTTTCCTATCTTTTGGTAAAGTTAGCTTATTTTAAAAAGAGGATTGCAATTGAGACTTTTTGCCTTTAAACTAATCTGCCGTTTTGTTCATCTTATTGTTTATTTAATATCTGTTGGTTTTTGCATTTTGTCCACTGATTAATTGGTAATTCTAAGGTTTTTGCTAACTTTTTGTAAAGTGTACTTATTTTAAAAAGAGGATTGCTATGAAGACTTTTTTCCCCTAATTTTCACCTAAAATGGTCTGCAATTTCTCTGGAATGAGGGCACACTTTATCATTTTTCTGTGCTGTCGGGAACTAGCGAGTCTGAGACCATGCCAAGAATGTGGTGGTTATTCATCAGCTCTATCGCAGTTCTTCCATTCATTGACTACCAACAGTTGGATATCATCCTGGCTTCTCATTCCAGTAAATTGTGAAGAGGAGTTAGACACAGCTTGGTCTCCATGGCTCATGTTGATGTGGTTGACATTTCCCCAGTGAAGTTTAACTCCTTTGTCTCACCAGTTGACAGAGCCGTAAGTATCCATGGGTTTTACCAAGGTTTAGTAAATCCAGTAGATCAGTTGTGTACTGATCCCCCATGCTTTGTTGATGGTTTTTTTTTCTAATTTGGGTTTCCAGGTTAATTTTGTCATCTAGGATAATGCCCAGATATTTCAACTCTTCTATAAAAGGTGTGGTTTCCTTTCTCCAGTCAGTGCTATTGTTTAACATCTCTTTAGACTTTTACATGGTGTCCACTAATTAATTGGTAATTTTCTTGATGTTTTCTCCTAACTTTTTTTAAACAAGCCTTTTTTGTCGTTTTTAGGCAACTTTCCTTCTGCAACTGACGAAATAGGCTACCAATCAGAGCTGGTACACTGGTGCCACGGTGCTGGTGGAATAGTCTACCTAATGGCTAAAGCCTATTTGGTCTACAACGAAGAAAAATATTTAATATCTTGTATAAGAATGTCTGATCTCATTTGGAGCAAAGGTTTGCTGAAAAAGGGACCTGGACTGTGTCATGGGATAGCTGGAAATGGATACGTATTTTTATTACTATTTAGGTGAGAAAATAATAAACAAATTTCAAAATTCAGAAATAGTATTAATTAGAAACCTTTTTAACTGTCTTTTGAGAAACTTTGGACATTATTTCCTTTTTTTATGCAAATATTTGAACATTTCAGAAAAATTGAAGTTTCCAGGCAACTTCTGACAGACCGTCATTCCTATAATTGTCATTTATTTTTTAAAAACTTGCCTTATTTTCATTTTCAGGATGACGAAGGACCCGAAACATTTGTATAGAGCGTTGGAATTTTACAATTTCATGAACACCGGCGAATTTCAAAGCGGTGCTAGAACGCCAGATTATCCTTACAGTTTGTTCGAGGGATTGGCAGGAACTGCTTGTTTCTTAGCGGATTTGACGGATCCTAATCAAGCCAAATTTCCCTTTTCAGACGTTTTATCTGTACATTAATAATTGATATATTAAAGTATATCCATTTAAAATTCATATATCGATGGCTAAAAGGGTAAATATTGTAGATCCATTTTTGTCGAAAATAAGATAATGTACGATTCTATGTCCTTCGAGGTGAAATCTTTACAGTTCCCAAATATTAATTGTACATCCACTCGAAACGGTTTACCGCTTTTAGCAGCTAGTAAGGCGTTTAGGTAATACTAATATAAACTAAACAGCTCGTTATAGGCACCTCTAACTATAAATCAATTTTACTCACATTTCTGGACATACATTTTTCCTCTTAGCCATCGATACAGTTTTCATTTTATTAACCGACTTCAAAAAGGAGGAGGTTCTCAATTCATCGGAATATTTGTTTTTTTTATGTACAGCCTGATTTCAATGATTCTTTTTTACTTTCCTATCTGTATACAGATAAGGAAAGTATAGGAATCATGATTTTTTTTGACGGATTTTTACGTTTTGGGGTCCCCTAAATCCGTCTTGACTATGTTTGCGATGATGCCTGTGTGCGGGCATACGTGCGTGCGTATGTACTCGATAACTTATGAACGGATAGAGAAAAATACCAAATTTTAAACTTAAGCTTTATTCCAGCCTGCGGTGAACAGATTAGATTTGGGGCAGAGTTGGAACATCTGAGGGGCTACTTTATAGGAGGTAGTTTTTATATTTTATGGAAACTATATTATTTACGTTTGGAGAAGAAAATTCTTGAAATAAAACTTACTTCTAATATTATTCTCTATAATGTTTGCCCTATACAAAATTTTCCTAAAATGGTCGAGAAATTTGACAAAACGTAAAAAATTCAAATTTTTAAGAAAATTGTTCAAATAAAAGTTGTTTGTTATATTATTTTTAGAATTCCTATTTTATACATAATTTCTGTAAAATGGACAGTAATGGAAACATTTGAGGAAATTTAAATTTTTCAGTATTTTCCTTGGCAATGAATGTATATAAAAAAATGTTTTGAGTAAGATGTATGTGGAACATGTATATATTTAGTTTATCCTTTAAATATTTACAGAGGCGATACAATAGGTTGTACAAAATAACCGGAAGAAGCCTGTAATAACTAGATAGGAAAGTCATGTGTTGGATTCATGAGATTTTTTTGTTAGAAACGGGGTACATTTGTTAAAATTTAATAATTGGGTCAATCAGAAAATCCCCGAACTCTTCATTTTTTATGTATGTTTATCGATAATTCTTTACCACCTTGTCCGATTTTTGATTCTTTTTTTTGTTAGTAAGGGGGCACGGGGTACCGCAGGGGAGGTGCCATATAAATTTGGCCAAGATGTAGTGATGGCATCTGCACGATTTTACGGTCGGTTTTTTTTAATTACTTTTAATATATAAATATATGAAACCAAAGATTGTTAAAAATAAATTGAGGACGCCATTGTACTAAACACGAGCTATAGTGTTGTCCGTATCTTTTTATTCCAAAAAGTTGGTCAGTTACCATATTTTCTATGATACAGGGTGGCCCAGTTGAAAACCCTTCAAACTACAGAGGAATCGCATTGGTTCATTCATCTGCAAAAATTTGTTGCAATATTATTCTGGATCTATTTACTGAATAGGCAGATATCTGTAACGCCTTACCGGAATGTCAAGCCAGATTTCGTCAGGGTCGTGGTTGTATCGACAATGTCTTCACCTTGAACTCTCTGATACATCTGCACATCAGGCTTCGAAAAAGAAACTTTTTTGCTATATTTGTTGATTTTAAAAAGGCTTTCGACTCAATTAATCACCTTTTAATGTGGTCGAAACTATTCAACTTTGGAGTATCTTCCAAAATTCTTCATTTAATTTAAAATGTATTCTTAAATTCTAGTCATATGAACTTTATATGCAAGTTTGCAAGCCGGTCTTCGACCTGCTGCGTCAGCACAAGCTAACTTATAAATATTTGTAAAATTGTCATTCCTTATTTTTTATCAGAGTAAATCGTTTGTAAAGTAAAAAAGTTATTTTTTCATTCATTAAACTTATCTGGCGCAGTCAGTAGGATACTTCAAGACGTTTTTCTTATTAACAAAGTGAAGACGTCTTGAATTTCAATTCTTCGTGAAGCAGAACCTTCGACCAAAGACGTGGTAAGCCAATCCTTTCTTTTCCTTTCTACATTTTTTTATCTTTGGTAAAATTAGGGAATAAGTTGTAGATAACTAGTGAATATATACAATTTCATGATTTTTATCTTTTAAATTATTAACGAATATAATATATTTAAAAGAAATTTAGGAAATAAGTAATTTTGAGTGCCGTTACTTCAAAATTAATTTCAATGAATTTAACTACAGAAGAAAGAACGTTTAGAATTAGAAATTATGATGAATTAGCTTTAAAAACTTATTCGTGGTTTAACTGACAGTATACAAGATTTAGAACGATTAAGAAATCCTAATTCACTTGAAAAAGCAATGTCTCATGTTTTAGAAGAAGAAAATTTCATATTAAGTCAAAAACAAAATTATTAAGCTATTGCATAGCTTTTATCGCGGGCTTTGAGTGGCGGCCGAATCAAGAAATTTCGTAACACCGTAACGAAAAAAACCTAACACCCCCACTCCGACCGGCGTATGCGTGTAGACGTAACTGCTCATAACTGATTCTATCTCTTTTAGACATAAGACTCACTAACAAAAATCGAAAAATGAAAAATCAAAAAAATTCCGTAACGAAAATAAACCTAACACACCCCACTCCGACGGGCACAGCGTTGAAAGCCGTGCATCGTCTAACGTCGTTTCAGTTCGACAGATTTCGGCACGTATGCGTGTAGACTAGCTGCTAACTGCTCATAACTGATTCTATTTCTATTAGACACGATTTATAAAAAATTGAATTTGAAAATGAATAATGATCCACAAGAACCCACAACAAAATATGGGACCACCATTGACGCGGTATTTTCCAGATATTTACTTGTCTGTCCGAGCGTACTTTTTGTTGGCGTTTTAAATTCATGGCTCGTGGAAGAAACATTGTTTTGTTGGTGGTGCGGCGTTGAAAGCCGTGCATCGTCTATCGTCGTTTCAGTTCGGCAGACTTCGGCACGGTGTTTGTGTGCGTGCGACTAGACGTATGCGTGTAGACTAGCTGCTAACTGATTCTATCTCTATTAGACACGATTTCTAAAAAATTGAATTTGAAAATGAATAATGATCCACAACAAGAACCCACAACAAAATATGGGACCACCATTGACGCGGTATTTTCCAGATATTTAGAGGATATCAACTGTCAAACTTATGTTTCTTATTTCAGTTACCATAAACCTGTAGTTTCAATGATAAAAATTCCTGAATAACCTACATGTATTGTAAAATAATAAAAATATTTTAAACAATATTAACTTCTCATTTATTCAATAAAAGAAACAACATTGTTTTCTTATTGGTCACCACGCTCAAAAAGTGTAACTTGAATTAATATAAAAAAAAAAAATTCTGCATAAATAAAATAAATAATTATAATTGCATAAGTTGATAAAAAATGCTATGCAATAGCTTTACCGCGGCAGTCCCCGAGTGCCACACGTATTTTTTTTGTCAAAATTCCAATATTAATAATATTAAATCTAACCACCGAAATAGTCACCAAAGTAGAAATAATTATCAAAATTTTAATAATCAAAGACCAAACTCATACCAAGGTTCTAACAATTGTTTCCAAAATAATTATAATGGTTATAACAATCAGAATTTTAGTAATTCATACAATCAATTTTCTTTTCAACCATTTAAAATACAACCCAAACCAAATTTACAACCTCAACAATATTTTACAAAGTTTTCGAACCTCCGACAGACGTATTTAAACCAACCGGTCGAATCCCTGCTAATAAACCGGAATCGATATCTACTAGTTCTAGAAGTCTTACAGTCTAAAAATCAAATAATAATCGAAATTATTTCCAGATCTAGGAATTTTGCACCACAATTACATAACATGGAAACATTTAATGATGCTTATTCTTCTCTGATTTTGAAAATCAAAATTACCAATGTGAAAATTATGATTTTTGATATTTCTATTCAGAATAGTGAACATTTAAATGATCATGTAAATTATACAGAGGCCACGACGAATGGCAAAATTACTTAATAAAATTTAATCACTTAGTAGAAAATTAACTACAGCATATTTATATAAATCAGTTGGGAGCAAACTTTCTGATAGATACCGGTAGTTCTCGAAGTTTAATAAACTCTGAATTAGCTAATAAGTTTTATTCTCAATTTATTCAAAAATTACAATTGCAGAACCTTTTATAGTACAGCAATTAAATATTAAAGAAATAAATTTTATAAAAAATACCCCAAGTTTAAATATTGATCCAAATTTAGATATTTTAAAAATTAACCTAAATAAATTAGGTAAGATCATCGCAATGACGAGGAAACAGAAGCAATTTCAAATTTATGTTTTGAATACATATCTTTTATTCAGAATGTATTCCTTTGAGCTTTTCTAATGAAGTCGATCATACAATTATCTTAACTGACGATAAACCAATTTATTGTAAATCATCGTTTCCCAGAAATTCGCAAACAAGAAGTTTGTAAACAAACTAATAAAATATTTGAACAAGGAATAGTTCGTCCTGCCACCAGTCCATTTAGTTCTAACATATGGGTTGTCCCAAAAAAGTTTAATAATAAGACAGGTGAACAAAATTATCGTTTACTTATAGATTATAGGAAGGTAAATGAGAAAAGTGTTAGTGATAAGTATCATACCTAACATTACGGAAATGTTAGATAAGCTAGGTAGAGCGAATTATTTTACAGATTTAGCGTCTGGTTATCATCAAACAGAAATTGATGCACAAGACACACCAAAGACGGCATTTACGGCTCTCTATGGCCACTACGATAGTCATGGACAATGTCCTAAAAGGTTTAAATAACGTCATTTGCATTATTTAGATCAGCGGAGCTCTGGGGCCTCCGCAAAGCCTGTGTGGGGGCTCCGCGATGAAAAAATTAA